ATAAATGGCACTGAATACCATCAAAGGATAGTACTGGATAAAAAAGAAAAAACAATTATATACTGGGTATAATAAATGCATTTTAAACAATTTAAATATAAAGATAAGTGAAAAAGAAAACAATGGAAAAGATACACCTTACAAAATATACTATTGAACTAAGTAGACTTTGGAAGAAGGAATATTACTAAGGAGAAAAGCTACATTACTAAAAATAAAAAATATAGTCACTAATATTATGTAACAACTCTAAATATGCAGACCTTTAATTACAGTTGGATATGTAATTAATCTTTCAAAAATTAATACAACAAAGAGAATAATCATGAAGGACATAGAATATTGAACAATACTATCAAATGGTTTGACCTAATTGACATTTATCAAATAGTTCACCTTCAAACAGAAAACCTTCTTTCCAAGTGCATGTGGAATATTCATTTAGATGGACCATAGAAATTAAAATCATAAAATACTTTCTCTGAGCAGAATGAAATTAAACTAGAAGCTAACACACTTTAAAGTATGTGGGAAATCATCAGACACGTAACCTGTGATTCATAGAGGAAATCAAAAGGGAAAACATAAAGTATTTTAAATTCAATGAAATTGAAAATAAAATATATAAAAACTTGTGGCAAGTATGCAAAGTAGTGCCAAAAGTGAAATACAGCATAAGTGCTATATTGGAAAACAAGACAGATCTCAACCAGTGATCTAATCTTCCACCTGAAGAAACTAGAAAATAAGTGCAAAGTAAATGCAAAGCATACATAAGAAAAAATACCAAAGATGGGAGCACCAATGGAATGGAAAATTTAAAAAAAATAGAGCAATTCAATGAAAGAAAAAGTAGGTTCTGATAGGAGCAATGACATATATAGGGTATTTGTAATGAAAATGAAAAAAAAGGGAAGGCTAAACAAATATTACCAGAAATGAAAGTACAGTATCAGGCTCACATTAAAATTATACTAAGGAAAATTGGAAAGAATTACACTTTAAGAAATTAGACAACTTCGATAAAATGGACAAATTACTTCAAACGCACAAATGACAAAGCAGATAATGTGGAGATTTCTTTATCAATTAAAGAAATTGAATATGCAACTAAAATTATTTTAAGAAAAAAATACAAGATTGATATCGTCATTGTGATGTTTTTTCAGTTACAAAAAAATAGTAAAAATTATATGTGAACTCTTCCCAAAAATAAGAGACAAACTATTTTTTTCTTTTTCTTCTTTCTTTCTTTCTTTCTTTCTTTCTTTCTTTCCTTCCTTCTTTCTTTTTTGAGACAGATTCTCATGCTGTCACCCTGTGTAGAGAGCTGTGGCATCAAAGCTCACAGCAACCTCCAACTCTTGGGCTGAAGCAATCCTCTTGCCTCAGTTTTTCTATTTGTAGCAAAAATGGGATCTCAGTTTTGCTCAGGCTGGTCTCAAACTCGTGACTCAAGCTGTCCACCTACCTTGGCCTCTCAGAGTGCTAGGATTACAGGGGTCAGCCACCGCACCCAGCAAGACAAACTATTTTCAAATTGTTTTATCAGGCAAGCAAGATTAGAAAAAGGCATAACTAAAAAAGGAAACTTTTGATAGATACCCCTCATGAAATAGGCACAAAATTTCTCAACAACATATTAGAAAATATAATCCAACATTATGCAAAATGGATAATACGTGACGAAGAAATACAGTGTTATTTTGGGAATGCAAAGTTGTTACCAAAATAAAAAGTCATGGTAGTTCCCCTTAACAACAGCTGAAGGAAAAAAAACATTTTGTTTTGTTTTGTTTTATTTTATTTTTTTATTTATTTTGAGACAGAGTCTTACTTTGTCACCGCCAGTAGAGTGCTGTGGCATCACAGCTCACAATGACTTCAGACTCTTCAGCTCAAGTGATCCTCTTGCCTTAGCCTCGTGAGTACCTGGGAATACAAGCATTTGCCACAATGCCCAGCTATTTTTAGAGGCAGAGTCTCACTCTGGCTCAGGCTGTTTTGGAAACTGTGAACTCAGGCAATCCACCTGCCTTGGCCTCCCAGGGTGCTAAGATTACAAGGGTGAGCAACAGCTACCATCACAAAAGAAAAATATTTTAAAAGATAAAAAATCTTTATTAAGAGTCAGTCAAAACATATTTCTGACTTTAGTGACGATCACATTCACATTAAGGGTCAGCATTCTAAAAGTCTGCTTCCTTCTTTCCTTCTTTGTTTCCTTTCATAAACATTTATTATCCCCTACAATATCTTAGTCATTGGACATACAAAATCACGAACCTCAGTTAGATCCCCATCTATAAAATTGTATTTAATAAATATGTCTTCATGTTTACAGAGACTCAATTGGAGGGAAAATATATGTGTTCTTATAATTATGGTCCCTGCATTTGGGACTTATCAGTCGTCAATGATTTAGCCATGATTAATCACCAAATATTAATTCTAGGCCCCCTAGTGAAGTATATTATGTGGGGCTTGCTTTGATAAGTAAAATTCTCTAGGCAATTATCATTTGCACTGTGTCATTCAGGGGTCAAAGAGTTTCAACCACAGCCTGGATAGATCATAGCTTTGAAGCAAGAGATCCTATTCTAGTTCAAACATTAAAATCTAAGTTGTTTGTTTAAAGGAACAAGTATTGTCTTCTACAAACAAAATCTAAGTTGTTTAAAGGAACAAGTATTGCCTTGCACAAACAAAGCCGCTCCAGAGAGCAAAGGGAAGATGGAGGAAGTACAGACGGGCCCACACCAGTAGGGGGCAGTGGAATGGATTGGTTGAGAGCACGGACTCTGGAGCCAGACGGCTTGGGTTCAAATCCCGCACTTAACAGGGTTGTGTGACCAAAATCAGGTCAGCTAACCTCTCTGTGCCCCTTTCTCTGTAAGATGGGCTGATAATAATGCCTATTTCAGTGGACCGGCATAAGGACTCGGTGATAAAAGTGCCTGGCACATAAAATAAGAAAAGTGGCTTTTGGGAGTGAGTTGAAGACGCTCCGGTGCCTCTAGGCAGCCACTCACCACTCACCGGCTGTGTGAAGAGCGACTGACTCCCAGTTTTGGCTTCTCTATTGGCTGCCGCTCGGAAGGGAACGTCTCTTGGTCTTGGGCAGCCATCTTGGCAGCACCATTGTCTGGCTCTGGCTGTTCTGGGAGCTGTGTGAGGACAGGGACCTGCTCAAACCATTGGTATATACCCTAGGGCCCTCTATGGGACAGGTGCCCATGGGGTGGACAATGAGGCTGGTGACAGCAGCCCTGTTGCTGGGTCTTGTGACCATGATGACAGGAAATGAGGACGAAAATGACCCATGTATCTACGAGACCCTGTCGGACGAAGATGCTGTCCTGTGCAAGGGCCTTGAAGTTTACTACCCAGAGGTAGGGAACATTGCTTGTGCGTTTATTCCTGACTGCAACAACTTCAGACAGAAGATCACCCACTGGCATGAGCCGATAGTCAAGTTCCCAGGGGCCTTGGATGGCGCAACCTATATCCTGGTGATGGTGGATCCGGATGCCCCTAGCAGGTCAGAACCCACAAAGAAATTCTGGAGACATTGGCTGGTGTCGGATATCAAGGGCTTGGACATGAAGAAAGGGAAGATTCAGGGCCAGGAGCTATCGTACTACCAGCCGCCCTCCCCACCACCAAAAACTGGTTTCCATCGCTACCAGTTCTTTGTCTACCTTCAGGAAGGAAGGGTCATCTCGCTCCTTCACAAAGAAAACAAAACCCGAGGCTACTGGAAAATGGACAAATTTCTGAACCGCTTCCATCTGAAGGAACCCGAAGCAAGCACCCAGTTCATGACCCAGAACCAGCAGGACTCACCAAGACTCCAGAATACTGGAGGAGGAGACAGTGAGTCCAAGAACAAACCCAAATAGTTAACTCCCTGCTAGACTGCAGGCTCCTCCCTCCAGGCCTGTGCCCACAGTACCCAGCACGGAAGGCCCAAGTATGCAAGCCCCTCTGGGTATGGAACCCCTTCTCTTCCAGATTAAAAAAAAAAAAAAAAAAAAAAAAAAAAAAAGGAGCTCCAAATACTTGATTGACAAGCAACTATACTACTTTATTCCTATTTATTTTTCTATATTATATTCCTATTTATTTTCTATTATTCTATTCCTATTTATTCACTAGACTTGCACTACACTGCAGTGTCACTCATCCTAGCTTGAGCAGTGATTCTCAGAAAGATTTAAGTATCTTAAATTTGTAGAACATGGATATTTGAAGGCATCTAGCTATCCATGGGAAAACCCAGGCAACCAAACATGGCTAACATAATTCTTTCATTAAACATGCTGTTAGCAAATCTTTCCCAATAAAAATTTCCTTACTATTTTCCACATGATGGATTTCAGTCCTCACATGAAATCAAGAATATTTTATCCTGATAGTTTCCAGGGGCAGTCAAAAACAATCGGAAAGAAATGTCTAAGATGATTTGGCTATGAAATGCAGCCTTCTAGCAGGCAGGCATTAGGGCCTTCACTTAAAATGAGACCAAGAACTATGTTTATTAGACCAAAAAGAAAAAAATCAACTAATTATTTCCAGATTGGATTCTTACATATTCTCTTCCATGGAAACCAATTTTTAGTGGTTTCCATGGAAAATGAGTATAAAGAGATCACTCCCCAGATATGTCACCCTATTTTCTGCGTACTCATGTAGTCATTATTAACCAAATTCTCGTGGAACTGAGGTCTGATAATCTGAGATTTTAACATCATGTTAATAGCATTAATGTTATTTTAGCTTCCTAGGGCTGCCATAATAAAGTACTGTAAACAGAGTGGCTTAAAAAAATAGAAATGTATTCTTGAACACTTTGGAAGCCAGAAATCTGAAATCAGGGTGTCAGCAACACCATGTTTCTCATGAGCATCCAGGTAAAATCCTTCTTGCCTCTCCGTTGCTTCTGGGAAGAGCCACAGTCCTTGCCTTCCTTTCCTTGCAGGGCTTTGACTCGTCTCTCCCTCCGCCATCACGTGCATTCTGCAAATGCACCTGCCTCTGCGTTCCTCCTTTTCTCTTGTTCAATATGAGGATAGTAGTCATATTGAATTAGGGCCCACCCTAATTGAGTATGACCTCATCTTAACACAATTACACCTCCAAAGACACTATTTTTAAATAAGGCTTCCAGGGTCACGACTTCAACATATCTTTTTGGTGGACACTGACCTAACCCAGTATTGTCAACTCTTATTTTTTTTTTTTTAATATATGTGCAATGCTGAAAATCAGGTAATTAAGAAGGATTAAGTCTCCAGGAAAGACAAGGTATAACTCCAAAATTTTATCCAAATATCATTTTATAACACAATTAAAATGTTGCCAATGTATTTAACATATACATGATATTTGATCATATTTTATCTATCAGAACACTGATGGCTTAGACAAGAATGTTCAGTTTAATATTTTGGTTTGCTGTATTCAGTTTACTCTTAAAATTTACTCAGAATCTCAGAATCACAAAGCAATTCTTAGGTCTCAGTTCTAAAGGGAGCTTGTGGTAGCCGCTTCCTGTTTTTGTTGACATAGATTTCTCTGCACTTAGGAAATATTCCTCTTTTCTCTTCTTTTTGAGAGTTTGATATAAGAATTTACTCTGCTGAAAATTCTCTTTGAGATGTGCTAAACCTAAAAATATTTCTCGGGCTATGTAACAACAGGAGCCTGTACCAAAGTTACTATTCTCTAGTTCCCACTAATCAGTGTGTAAGTGAAAGAGATGATACTGAAGTCTCTCGATGATATGGTGAATGAGCATCTTACTTCCTTTCTGTGAGATCGTATTTAATTGTCTTTTAGTCTATTATCCCTTTGTCAAGTGTTGCCCTTGGCTATCTTCCTAATTTAATGTTCTTAGTAATAGCCAGTTATCGGAGAACACTTATTAAAATACGTACAAATATGGCTAGGGCGCCTGTAGTTCAGCAGCTAGGGTGCCAGCCACACACACCAGAACTGGCAGGTTCAAATTCAACCCAGGCCTGCCAAACAACAATGACAACTACAACCAAAAAATAGCCAGGCATTATGTGGGGGGGGGGTTGCCTGTAGTCCCAGCTAATTAGGAGGCTGAGGCAAGAGAACCACTTAAACCCAAAGTTTGAGGTTACTGTGAGCTGTGACGCCATAGCACTCTATCCAGGGTGACAGCTTGAGACTCTGTCTCAAAAAAAAAAAAAAAAGTAAAAATATCTCATTAAAGTACTGATAATTCACATGATGGCCCTACTATGTTTTGGTGAGCTTCATTTTTCAATATTACACTTTAAAGTTCTATGTAGCATGAAAATGTAGAGTGTTTTAATGCTGCTTAGGCTTCTTACTCTACAGGGTATGGGTATGCACAGATCCCCAAAATATGAACAATATGTGATAGATCTGAATTTTTAGGACAGACATTAGAAGATACAATTTTATTTTAGCAGAGCATAAATGAAAACAAAACATCCAGGTAGATTTGTTAATGTCTCAGAGTGTTTGGCATTAGGCAAGTTCTGATCAGAAATCCTTAGACTAAGAAAAATCTTCTCACTCATTATTAGACCAGACTACATGGTGAAAATTAAATGTTCTCACTCCTTATTAGACATGGTGAAATTTTTCTTTACATACTAACCTTATAATTTTTAATACACTGTATGTAATAGCACTATTAGTAAATTGTATTGTGGAGTGTTGAAATTGAAATGAACTGGAAGGATTCTAAGAACTCACCTAAACATTAGTTTGTGTTTTTCTGTGCATGTGTGTCCTACCTTGTATGATAAAGATGACACCTAGAATAGAGCAAATGCCACAGAGCAAGTTAGTGCAGAGACAAGGAAGGGAATAAGGTCTTTTGATGCCCATTTCAGGTACTTTTGGACTCCTACCATCCTCTTTGAATTGCCCAATTTCAAATTGAATTTTCATAAATTGTTGGAGATGAGGGGTCTTAGTTCCTCTGAATCTAGTGGACCTGGTGCAATTACTTTGCTGAGCTAGAAAGTTTAACTGAGGCAGAAATGAACTGAAAGCAAAAGTGGGTAGATATTGAAAGTAAAACTGGAATAGAAAGCAAAAGTCACAAGCACAAGCTTTATCAAAAAGAAATTTTATTTAAGAACAAAGACAAAGCTTAGAGCATTTCCAAAGAGAGTTGGAAGTAGGTCCCTCTCATGAATGAGAAGAGGTGAGAGAGGGAGATGCAAAGGCTGTGCAGAGGTGTAAACACCCTCTTCCCTCCATTTGGAATTGTAGCTCTTTCACTGGTCTCTCTGTGCCTTGAGGCATTATTCTTCTTTTCTATTGGTCATTGATTACTGCCCTTTTCTATTAGTTATTGGTTACCTAGGTGACCTCATACCCAGATATTTTTCCTTTTTTGGTGGGAGTTACTGAGTGAATGTTCCTTGTTCAGTAGGCCAGGCTTCCCTTCCACCCCCTTGAGGCCCCTTTCTTCAGGCCCCTTTTCATAAATCTTTCCTGCTCAATCTACTTAGCGATCTCCCTGGTAACATTTTGCCAAAAAGAATAATTTCAGTGCATTTTGGTTGTTCACTTTGAAATATACTTCTAAACTGCTGAGGTTTTTTTAATTTTTTTTTTAATGTGAGGTTTTATTATATACTAGCTAATCTCCAATGATTGTGTCTTTGATCACAAAACAGTAAATTCCATGATGCTGGAAATGATGATTCTTGTGGTTTGAATTAGAAACATGAAAACTCTTCCTCACAGCCATGTCTTGAAATAAAAACATTGTGCTTACTGAGATACAAATTAAATGCATGATAACAATATTGAAGTAGCTAAATCATGCTAGAGAATTCCTTATTTGTGCCATTAAATTATCTTTCTAAATTTACTTATTTTATGATTGCAGAGGGAAAAAAATATCCATATAAATAAATTTTCAGATGAAGGAGATGTATCTCCTAAGAATTTGTTTAAAATTCCACACTTAGCAAGACCAGTATTATCAGCATTAGGGTTTAATAAGGTACAAGGACACAGAAGATGCTTCTATTTGTTTGACAAGGACATGTGATGCTGTTTTGGTTTAATCCAATGTGTTCATATAGCTTATAGAGAAATTCTGAAGTCACTAACTGAACACAACGTTTTAGACCAAAGAAGTAAAGATAGTGTCCAAATGTCCTTTTCCAAAAATCTTCCAGATGATTACACAATTACAAATATTTTTATGAACCATAATGCATTATAAAGTAAAAAGAATTGCCTCTGGGTAATTTGTGGTATAGAAAAGTTGATGTGTCTTATGCAATTACACAAGGACCTAGTTAAACACACAGACTCACTTCTTAGAAAGAGCATAATATGTTGAGCTAAAGTGATATACATTTTCTAGAAGGTGAAACTGTGTACAAAGAGGAAGACAGTGTTAGTAGAATTGAGTGATTATAGGTGATGCCTCCATAAGGCTTTAGAGCAGAGATTGGCAATCTTTTTCTCCATAGGTGCAGAAAGTAAATAATCTCACCATTATAGGTTGCTGACCCAGCCCTGATACAGAGAATGGTAGAATGACCACAGAACTCAAAGTCAGAAAATACAGTTTCAAGTAAATACTCTTTAGTAGATTTTTTTCCTTGCTTTTCATTTGCTTGTTTTTGCTCTAGCCAAGCATCATGTTATCTTTAGAAACTTCTCCTCTTAACTCACTGTAATATAATCAATAGAGGACAGGATGCTGTAAAGATTAAGTGAGGCAACATTTGTCCTGGTAATAGGACAAATTCTATAGCAATGTACAACCCACCGCTGTGACAGTAAATAAAGAGGAAAAGTGTAAATTCACAAGGTCAAAGTGGCAAGAAAGATGTCGCAGGAGATGAGAAATAGTAACAAAAGTTTTCAA